TGAGGATAGAGAGAACACCTCGCTCACCGCTAAAATGCATAAATCTTCCTCGTTACAGGGAAATTCACAGCGTGTGCAGTACCGTAATACGCTAACTCCATCCAATTACAGTTAATAGCGCCTATGCTGACTTCATTATCTCTACATGCACTAAACTGGACGCTGTGACTTTATTCTGGTCGTTCACGGCTTTCGCTTCGAGTGTGTGCGGCCCCCACGCCGAGTCCACGCAGCAGCATATTGCCATCGTCCACGTGAGTTTTCTTCAAGTAAATGTCGTCATCAATCAGCAACTCGAGAGTTTGTACATTCACGGCTGTGTACTCGAGGACAATAGACTGATGTCGTTCGAAGATAGCACCATCCAAGGGAGACGTTAGTGATAGGTGTACCTCGTCCTCAATAGAGGGAGTGGGTGGCTTTCGAACGTAGACATCTTTCTTGTATGTCGTGAGCTCTTCGATTAGCCCAGGAATGGGGATAGTAACTTCGAGATGAAGCTTAAATATCGCGTCGTGTGTGAATTTTCGGAGAGGAATCGACAGTGCGATTGAGCACTTCAGTATTGTCGTCTTCGCTTTCAAGTGCAAGAAATCCTATTTCCGACGTGAAAACCTCGTCGTCCAAAAATAATTCGTATCGAAAAACCTCGGCGCCATACAAATGCAGAGCTTCAGTGGGAAAGTTGGCAAGTTGCCACTCGAATGAAACACCTTGTGGCGTGATTATTGAGTTTCCCACGGGGTTCACAATGTGCACGGAAACATTCGAGATATCGTACGCCGAGAACAGTTCCTCGTAGTTCGATAAGGGGAACACTACAGGGTGAAAGAAGCTGTACACACACGCAAGGAGGTACGCAACTAACACCGTGGCAACTCCCCCCACAAACAGAAGCTCTTGCTGGGTGGGAACACCATTATTATTTCGCTTCTTCTTGGTCTCCGTCAAAAGCCCCTTGCTCTTTGCCACCGCTTGATTTCCCGTCGACTCTGGACGTCCCTTAACCACAGCCTTCGAGCTCTTCTTTTCCCTCTCCGGCGTCTTTATCTCTGTTGCACACCTGGTCGGAATTTACTTGGGTTTCAAAGACGTTGTTCTCTCGTGTTTTCCCCCCTCGGGAGCAATGTGGAGACCTTTCTGGCCTTTACCAGGCTTTTTTTAGGGATTAACAATTTCTTTCCGGGCAAAATTCTTCTGTTGCGTTTTCCTCGCGGAAGGGCGGATTTTTCTGCCAAAATTACCATCCTTCTTCGCAATGCCCCGGAGGGTTCACTCACGATGTGGTGAGGTTTTTAGAGAATTTTGGGAGAACCTCTTGGGCCTGTAAGTACATGAACTCACTACCATTATCACTTGTTAGGATATCCACTTTGTGGAGACGAACAAACGCTTTAAGCGCTTCTAACACAATTGCTGCCGTCTTGTTTCGTAAGAGCTTTGCGTACCCCAGCCTTGAGTTGATGTTACTAGCAGTCAAAATTGGCCGTTTCTCCCAATACGCAAGATCAATTTGCCACGAGTTGGGGTTATGCGAAGCTATTTTGAAACCATTGAATCTCTTCTTTTGCTCCTGAAATCGTTGAATATCGGGCTGACTCCCATACCAATCCTTTACTATTTTGAAAGTTATCTTAGGATTCAACTCCTTTGCTTTCTGATACAGAGCTTGAGCTCCTATAAAACCGGTTTTTGGGTCATAGTAGAGTTTCTTTAATAGCGCGTCCATGATCTATATTTACATTAAAAAAATCCCCAGTGGCTAGCTGCTTAAATTACAAGTGGTTCAGTCGTGATACCATCATCAAGTACTCGACGTTTGTCATAGTACTAGTTAAGCGCTGTTTTGGTTTGAGTATAGGTGATGATAGACTTGGCTTCTTTCGATAGTCTGAACCCCTTGTTTGTACCTTGTAGCATGATGCGATCCCGTACGACAGTCTCAAACCCATCAGAATTAAGAACACCATTGTTTCGACCACTTCCCTGTTGAATACCCTTCGCTGAAACCTTTACTTTGTATGTCTCATCGGGTAGTTAGCAAATATAGTTCTTACTCGATAGTGAGACCATAGCATCACCTGACCATTCATCTTTGAACAAACCAGGCGTACGGCGATCAAACTTAGCTACCTCAGTGTTGTAGTCACGTGGGAACAAATCGTATTTATGCTCCTTGAAGTATGTTCGTAGCTCAGGCTTAATACAGTCTTGAAATGGATTATCACAGCTGAAAGCGATATAAGCCGAATCAGTGTCCATCTCCTGATACTGGAAGTCAGAGCGATCGAAGTAGAAATTTATGCAGTCATAGTAAAACTGAAGCATGCGTAGCTTAGCAAGCTGATAGATAGCAATCGACAAATGGATTGGGTTCTTATTGTTGAGTCGACGATTCTTCATCGAGATTTCACACGCATTATTAAGCTCCTCGATACCATGAAACGTAAAGTGTTCGATATTGTTCTTAATAGCTTTGCCGCTCGACTCATACTTAACCTCTTTGTGCTTGCTTATGTCCATTCCAGATCGACCAAAAACACTGTTGCCTACCAGTTTCATCATCTCAGCAATCATCGCCTTCGACTAATCAACATCGCCCTCTCGTCGAGCATTTGATATAGCCTCCATAAAGGGGGCAAAAGCCTTGTGAGAGCTGGCCTTGACAAAGCAGTAAGTATCGGTTATCTCCATCAAAGGTGAAAGTTGCGCCGGTGAAAACGGAAGAGGGATATATGCTAAAAGTTAAAGCCAGCGTAAAGGGCGAATTGCGAGAAAGCGAATCCGTAGAGGATATTGAGAAGACTGCTGTAATTAAAAGAATGGAAGAGCAAATCGAAAGGGAGATCGCCTCAAGCATCCGACAAGGCTGGGTTGCATTACAAAAGAACAGGGCGGACGTAATTGGAATAGCGGATATGCTTTACCGCAAGGACCCTAAAGCTTGGGACTCAATAAAACCGGAGTGGAAGGAACGGATTTCGAAAATGAATATCGATATTTCGGTTAAGGCTGAA